TACTGTCTCAACACACCATTTTGCTATTATTTGCAGCGGAAGTGCAGCAAAAAATTCTCCCATTGGTTAAAAGACCAGCCAATTAGCATACAGCATGATTGCGCGTTTTCTCCCAAATGCCCAAATGCAGCTCGGATGTCATTCCCAAGACATAAAAAAGAGCGTCACAGTCCAAATCTGGGTGATGATGGTTTCAAAAATGCCGGCTTAACAGATGGCTGCCAGGGTTTCCACACATACCTGAGGACGTCCACTCCGCTCCGCTCCGTCTGCTGCCGATGGATGTAAACAAACTCACGCTGCAGATGCCGTCACGAGGCAAAGAGACTGCAGCTGCCACCAGCGCTCACCCTCTTCCCTTCCTCCTGCTTCCCATCTCTCTCTTCCTCACCCTCTCTCTCTCTCTCTCTGCTTCAGCTTGCTGCTTCCCAAACAGCCAATTAACTCTTTCTCTGCCTGGTCTGCAGCAAAAACAGCAGCATTATTATTACGATGATTAGGAGATTATGTTTCTGTTATTAAGCCTATCCTCATGGGGTGGACAAAATAATAGAAACACCAGTCAGTATAGTACTCCAACAGTTGAATCAACACCTCGCGACAAAAACTGAACATGACAACCTTCATGAAGCGAGGATTTATTGCAGAGTGTTGGTCAATTAAACATCTTTGACTGTGGGTTGGACAAAATAAGCAACTGAAAACATTACATTGGGTCCTGGGATATTATACAGGCCTTTTCTATTTTTTGATATTTTATAATTAAGGAAAATATTTGGAGTAATTGTTAGTTGTTTACTGGGTATCATTTTTAAAATTTCTTTGATACCAGTGCTGATAAAACACCTCATATTTGGTGCCAATACATTGTACTTTTTTGATACCTTACTTTGACAAATGTTGATTTTTTTCTACAAAACCCCTTTTTTAAATTTAACAAAAGAAGCCAAAGTTCTCAAATGTTAAATGTCTAAACAAAAGCAGACATACCAAATCTTTCACAAAGACAAAAATAAATATTGATGTAAATCAGGAACTACCTAATCAAAGAATCCGTAAACAAGATTACATTGACTTTTGATGCCAACTTTCTGTATTTGACACTTTTATCCATGTGTCTGTCATTTAGGTTTTAATTAATATTTTTTAAACTATATCATATTGCTAGAGACAACTTTGCAACTTATGAGGATGATCTTGATGTTTTTATCTGTTAAATTCATCCCAAAATGTTTTTCATCAGGAGTAACAACATAGCATTCACATAGCTCGTTTTATATAACTTTTAAATCAAACCATAACAATCATAAAGTATATGATAAAGAAAAGAATCAAATGCTCACATTTGTTAAGCTGGAGTCTGTGAACAGATTTCAAGCTGCGAAGAAGAAACATAAATCCTATTTTTATTTTTTTTCCAGGAGTGAAATGATTTATACAACAGATATTTTTTGCATTGGAGCTGGCTCGTACGGAGACAAATTACGTTGTTTGCCATGCTCCATGTGGCAGTCCCACCTTTGGCAACGCACACACTCTCCTTTTTGATGGCTCTCCATTTTCCCCAATGCTCATTAATAATTAATATGACTATTGCAATGAGAGCATCAGCAGACCAGTGTGTCTATCCATGCACTGTTAGCCTGCTCTAGTGAATACAACGTATTGTCCAACGAGGTGTGTGTGTCTGTGCGAGGCACTAAAGAAAATAGAGTTGTGCATGAGTGTGTGAAGTGTTTTTTATCGGCTCACAAGTTACAAGGAGAAGGGGACAAATGAAGAAGTTTTACATCTTAAAAGCAAAGAGATTCAGGGAAAGGGAGTGTCTTCCATTAATGACTCCAATATTCCTGATTTTATTTTTTCTTCTCTCTAGTTTGTTTTTTGTTTTGTTTTTACAAATATGATGAGATAAAAGATGAGACAAACATATTTGTTTTTCTACTGTGATGGCAAATAATCAAACTTTCTGAAACAAACAAAAATTTTGGTATAAAATAATGGTGAAATTAATGCTGAAATAAAAGAGTAAAAAATATATACAAAGTAGTAACAAGTATGCTGCTTGTTTTACAAAATGTTCAAATCAAGTTGCATTTTATTTTAAAGGATTTAACTCCTGAATTCCTCTTGTCATTTAAAGCTTTGACTAAGAGCTGCAACGATTATTCGATCAAATGTTAATCTGACACAGCTCATTACAGATGGTGTGTCTATCCACCTGAATCTCTTTGTTATGTCAGCTGCATGCTTCTCTTCCTCCATCTTTGAAAACCAGACGGGCGGATCACGTCTGTCACACACGTGCTCGCTGTATAAATACTGTAAGTCCCTATGACGAGAGCAGAAAAGGCAGATACAGAGGAAGACACAGATGAGGATGAATCAACAGGCTCGACCCTCTGAGCTGAGTGGGAGAGTTTGATGAGTCAGCACACACACACACACACACACACACACACACACAAAATCAAAGATATGATGGAGACAGAGGACACTAACCATGTGATTTCCAATCAAATCTCACTCTATCAATACAATGTAACAGTGCCAATGGCCTATTTTACTAAATTATACGACAAAAATATATGCTTTACCTCCCGTGTGAAACCTGATTAACAACAAAGAGTCACTGCACATGAAATGATTAGCTAACAGAAAATCATTCCGCAACTATTTTGACAATTGTTTATTTAATCACTGCAAGCAAAAATGCCAAACATATTTTGCTTCCAGCTACTAAAATATGAAGATGTGCTGCTTTTCTGTGTCATAAATGTAAAAAAACTGAATATCTTGTGATTTGGATTGGACCAAACAAATTTTATAGACAAGCTGATTAATCAATTAATCTAAACTGCAAATTTATTGTTAAAGAAATTAATTTAGCTGCATCCATAAAAGTCACCATAACTGCCTAATTTGCATTAATACTCATTGATACTGACATGTTAGAGTGGCAACTACAACTGCTTTGTAATTATCCATGAATATATTTTATAAAATGTCAGACAGTGACAAACAGGCTACTCACAGTTTCCCAAGTGGCTTGTTGTGTTCAAACAACAGTCCAACCACCCACATATATTCAATTTACAATTGAATAATAAAAAAGAAAGAGTAGAAAATCATCACATTTGAGAAGCTGCAATCAGCTAACATCTTTGTAAATTTTTTGTTTAATAAAAGGCCTTAAATAACAAACTGAAATTAAAACTGCTCAGGTAATTGCTGTCATGCAGCCAGTAAATGGCTGGACAGAGAAAATAAGGATTGACAATAACTTTAGTAATTATATGGAAAGGGTTCCCAACTGTTTTGTGTAAATGCCCCACTAGGCCACACAAACACCCTGACACCTTGATAATACTATAAAACGCCTGTTAACATTCACGGCATCTCTCAAAGTGCCAGTTCCCACATCAAATCTGTTTTTTAACTTGGTTGCTAACACTATATGCTGTGCCTTTAGACCGTAAACCAGCTGGTCTGAGCCAAGGAACGACTGGGAGAGGGACAAGCAATAATTGATGTGGACGTGCGGGAGGAAATGGAAATATAGGGGTTTTTTCGGGCTACAGGAAGTACAAAACACCCACACACACAGAAAAAATGTAAAAGCAAAGCAAGGATGCAGAATGACGTTTTATTGTTGGATTTAGCACAAAAACATGGAAATTCAGACGCAACAAAATAAGTGACTGCATGTCTGAAGCAGCGGTGAAACACTGGTCCAAGGTTTTTCAATTGAAAGTAAGTATAGAGGGAGCATAAGTATGGTATAATCCCTTAACATATGACTATAAATCAAGCTTAAGTCATGTGATGACACCTGAGGCAGCTCTATTCTCAGAACAAAGGCAGTTAAATGGGGCTGAAAGCTCACAAAACACAATTTTATTATTTTCTCACCTGTAGAGACAAACTAAAACTATATAAAACATGACATAGCACAATTTTACTTCCATTTGCACACATGCAGCCAACTCTTAAATCATATAAGTGGATTTATTGGTTCCCTCCCTGGCACAATAACAGAGGAAAAGCCTGACAAAGCTCCCACCTGAAGCCACTTCCAGTGTCAAACTTTGAATTTTGGTCATAGGCAACACACACACACACACACACACACACCAAAGGGCCTCCTTTTCAAGCAGGTCACTCTCCTCCTCATAAAAGAGCATCATCAGCTCTTTGAAATCGATGTTCACGCTGACCTTGACTCCTGCTCAGCGTAACTCTAAACCATTGGTGATGGCCAGCTGAGTGCATGCAGTTTAATGTAATGCAGCGTGATGCAAACACACACACAAACACAAACTCAGCACATGTGCACATCCACAGTGCGACACATACACACATGTATACACACACATACTGTATTAACACACAGTGTGAAATGACAGAAATCCATCTGTGTGTGTAATAGGATGTTTTGCAGTATGACTCACAGACATATCATAAAATAAGCATGGCCAACAATGGCATGGCAATAAATGCTGTATGTTTTCACACACAGGCTTAGAGGAAACCCTTTACTATCGGAGTTACATAATACTAGCGGTTTCTCAGGCAGTGACCTGTCTGCCACACTCACTCAAGGAGCCATTTACACAGTATCATGCGTCGTGTCAGAGGAGCTTCTTCATCTATGACACTAGACCCCATTTAAAACTAATATTCAGTCCCGTTCAATGTGCTTTCTGTCCTTATTGCTGACTTGCTACGCCCTGTCCTGCTCCTGCGTTATTCTACTGTCCTCAGCTGCTTTCTGCCGTTTACTGTTTTAAAGTAGGTGCCAGAAATGAGTCAAAACTGTCCTGTTTACTAGAATAGTTACTAACAAACTAAAGCTTCCGTTTCCGAACTTAACTTACCGCTAACAGTGTTAACGTTAACTGTTAGACAAACACCTACAAAAGCCTAACTGTTAGCCGAGTAACGCCGTCATTATGCTGCGTATTTTGATTTAAAATTAACCGTAATTAGCCGTTACTTACGGGTTCAGCTGTGTGTTGTGATAAAATATCCCATAGTTGGACAAAATACAACTGTTGAGAGGAGTGTGTCGTCAAGCTGCCGCACTGTTTCTGTGTTTCTCTTTCTGGCGGTGGCGGTAGCAGACAGCAGGGTGGTCACGCCCCCTGCGTGGCACGTTGGTGGCGTCATCACGCAGGCTCGTAGGCACTACGTAGATTTTTGTTCAAAAAGTCTTTTATTCGCATTTATCTAACAGATGAATTTAAACACGTGTATAACTGTTCCTTCTCTCCCCTTTAAACTATGCAACCTAAAAGTAATTACATTTACTCAAGTACGGTACTCAAATATGATTTTTAGGTACTTGTATGCGAGAATTGTCATTTTATGCAAGTTATATCATTAATTTCAGAGGCAATATTGCACATTTTACTCCACTACATTTTTCACAGCTATAGTTACACTGAAAATTGAGAGATTTATAACTACTTACCCCAGAACCACTACAGTAGGCCATCTATTAGTACCAAACATAAATGTGTTTCTTTTTGTTTTGCAGTATCTTGTATGACAAAGTCTTCCTTCATTCATTCAGTCCTCATTCGTTCAGAAAGGATAATGATGATGTTTCTAATCATAATAATTAAAATGGTTTACACTTGGTCGTTCAAATTCAAATTCAAATCAGCTTTATTGGCATGAATGTATAACAACAATATTGCCAAAGCTACAAATAAATTATATAAGAACTATTTATTTAATTAAATATAATAATAATAAAACAGTAAAAACTTTGTGTGTTAAATATATATATATATATATATATATATATATATATATATATATATATATATATATATACTGTACATAATAAAAATTACGTAAAAATAAATATTAAAATAAAAAAATAAATAAAACAGTGTGTGTGTGTGTGTGTGTGTGTGTGTGAAATGTTAGAAAGTCGCTCCTTATAGAGTCACTGATCCAAAGTATAGCTGCCTTCTATCGCCATCATGTTGATATTATGTGGTATTGCAGGTTTCTTCATCAGACTTTGAACTTGAAACAAAAAGTAGTTTTAAAAAATAAATAAATAATGAAACATTCTTTTATTCACATTTATTTAATTACAGATGAATAAAAACATGTATATAACTGTTCTCTCCTTTCATCTATGTATACCAAAAGTAAGTACATTTACTCAAGTACTGTTCTTAAATATGATTTTTAGGTACTTGTCAGTGACAACTGTCATTTTATGCAAGTTTATACTTCATCATAAATTTCAGAGGCAAATATTGTGTATTTTATGCCTCTACATTTACTTCACAACTAGTTACTCTGCAAATTGAGATTTTACACACAAAACACATGATAAGTTCATAAAATTAGTAGTAGTACTACTCAGGCCCAAATAAGGAGTTTTATGTAGGATAATTTAGTATGCCTTGTACTTGACCCTAAATTAGATAAATCTGAATCAGCTACAGCATGAACTAGCACATGCATAAATGAATATGGAATAACAATCCCATAATGTAAAGATCAAGGGAAATTTTTCTGCAAATTACTACTTTTACTTTAGATGCCTTAATTACATTTTGATGAAATATTCTTAACTTTTACTTACTTAAATAAGGCTACCTAAATGATAAAAAACTAACAACAATTTCTAGGCTACAATAGCATTCACAAAACTGAAAATGCTGTTTTAAAATCTGTTTATTTTATTTATCATTTCTATATTTAACAGGGACTATAAAGATAAACATTGTCATATCTAAATAAGAAGCTCAACAGATGTATATGGGTTGTCCAGCTGAAGATAATTAGCAGACCCACTCCCTGGTTTGGCTAAAATTGTCAAACAAGTGAACTGATAAACTAGTATCAGATAAAATAGACTGCAAACAGTTGTATACGGTCTGTATATGTGTGTATGTATTGTACATGACAATGCATTGAAATATGGTTGCGTATAGTGTGTTTGAGTGGAAGTACTGCCTTCTATCGCCCTCATGTGGTATTGCAGATTTCATCATCAGAGTTTAAACCTGCAGTTCCAGCTTTGCACAAACCTGCTTTGTCCATGTTTGTTACAGGTCATTTGCATAGTGATTTTCTGTGAATCAGAGCAGGAGTGGTCTAATAGGAACTCACAAACATCGTAGTGTAACTGTAACTGTTCTTTTCATGTCTTGGGCTCCACCCTTAAGGCAGGGCACACGTCACAGGTGATGTGACAAGCAGGTTCAGCAACAGGACAGATGAAGCCAGTTTTGAGTTACACATCAGACAGGATTCTGTGAAGACGGTTTAGAAAGAGCACTTTGTATCTTTAATTTTATCTTACAAAAACCCTTAAAAAATTCAGTTGAAACTTGTTTGTTTATTGTTTGAATTGCTCTGGACATGGAGTGGAGTAAAGGCCTGCATGACAGCTGTTATTGTAGTTTTTTATTGGCTCCAGTCTACTGAAAATACTTTTTGTTTTAAATGCCTTGGAACTTATATTTTCAGTGTTTCATGACTTGCTCTGGAAATACTTGAGATCTGTGTTGACCAGTGGAAATGGGGACCTCTGCTTTGTTTGCAGTCAGGACTGAGAGAGGAGCCTGTTGTTTGCTTCTGCTCCTTGTGCTCTGCGGCGTGGGAGGGAAATGTGAGCTTCAGGAATCCAAACCTGCGGCCGGTGTCAAACATACTCACAAAGAACACCAGGCCTTCCCAAATAAGGAAAAGCCAAGCTTTCCTGTGTTCTCGATGAACTACCATCAGATCCAGGTCCCCTTTGAGTTTACACTTTGGATACTGCTGGCCTCTCTTGCCAAAATTGGTATGTTTGGATGAAACACATGTGTTGAGTTTTATGTTTGTGCATAAAGAAGGGTTTGTATCAGAATAATTGCAGAAACATTGCTTTGTATAACATATATAGCCTTAATATTGGGGGCTGAAGGCCATCACAAGAGCTCAGAGGTCAGTCTTTTCTTCTCTCCAGGTTTCCACATTTACCATAAAATCACTGTCTGGATCCCAGAGTCCTGCCTCATTATTGCCATCGGCCTCATCGTTGGTGGCATCATACACTCGGTCAAAGAGATACCCCCTGCTGTGCTAAGCTCAAACATCTTCATTCTCTTCATGCTCCCACCCATGGCCCTCGACAACAGCTACTTCATGCCCACAAGGCTGTTCTTCGAAAACGCCGGCACGGTGCTGTGGTACTCGGTGGTTGGAACTATGTGGAACAGTATCGGCATTGGGCTTTCCCTCTTCGCCATCTGCCAGTTTGAGGTGTTTGAAATTCAAGACATAACCCTGCAGGTCAGTTAAAGTCCCAGGAAGAGCAAGAGTGTGTGCATCAGTCTGATCCCAGCTCAAGACCCTGGGTTTTCACTAAGTGGTTTCCTCTGATTGAAATGTCAAAGGTGATGTTTGTGTGTTTTTGATGCAATGTGTGGTATTTACATGTGAGAATTGATCCATTTAGTAGCTGTTCTGGAGCTTTCAATCATGTCAGATCATCATTATATGTGATATAACTGAAAGCTGTTGTTTCCAAGGTCACAAATAAATGTTAAAACATCAAAGAAACTTGTTTAATGAAATGTATGGGGTTGATTGTTCTCATGTAGTATGTATGATGCTTTGGCAATATTGTTGTTACATATTCGTGCCAATAAAGCTAATTTGAATTGAATTGAAAACTGTTCTGAAAATGTGGAAATCTCTGACAGTAAAACCTAACTAAAGCCAGTCCTTACATGGTCAAAAACCACTTGCTGTGCGCCACACTTGAACCAATTATCCCCAACCTAAAATAATTACTCCAACGTGCACCTTGTGGAGAAACGTAGCAAATAATTGAGACATTTCAGTATCTCTTAAGAAAATGTTTTAATAAACTTGACTGCTTTGACATGATAGAAAAGGCACTCTAAATGTTAATTAATAATTTTGGTCCCAAAACCTGACAGAGGGAATAAACCTTTCCACTCACTTCCCTGCAGGACAACTTGCTGTTTGCCTCCATCATCTCAGCTGTGGACACCATGGCTGCGCTGAATGTGTTTGAGGATACTGGAGTCAATGAGCAGATATATATAGTCATATTTGGAGAGGGACTCTTCAACGATGCTGTCACTTTGGTGAGTTCAGGGTATGTGTGTTTTTGTTTGTGTGGATTGTTTCTATAAAACTAGACTGTGGAATAGTCATCAGAATCAGAATCAGCTTTATTGCCAGGTATGTGTACACATACGAGGAATTTGACTCTGGATTGTACAATGCTCACGATGTGCTTACTTATACAATAATACCATAGATACAGTAATCAAATCAAACACAGGCTAAAGTATAGAGAACACATATATACACACTATAAGCAAAAATAGACAAACAGATTGAGACAATAGTACAATGAGCAGAGTGCAAAGGATGCAGGAGAAAATTATTATTACCATTAATATTATTATTATGTACATGTCGGAGGTGGATGTAATACACAGGTGCACATACACATACAAGCATACATGTACACAGTGTGATGAGTTCAAAGAATGCTGGAATAAATAAGTATTATGTGCAGGTGTTATGTACATGAGGTAGGTAGATTTGGTATACAGTATATACAATATGACAATATGAACAGTATGAACAGCTTTGAAATGGAGAATGATGAATAAATAAATAAAAGGTAAGTGGTAGCCAGTAAACAGGAATCATTGCACAGGAATGGTTCCTGACATTGTGAGTCAGAGTCAGCTGTTCATCAGAGTGATGGCTTGTTGGAAGAAACTGTTCCTAAGTCTATTGGTCATAGATTACATATAAGCAGGGTAAAGAATTATTCTTGTGATTTGAGCCTAGAAGTCCACAGGATATTGTTATATCATCATCACAAGTTAAATATAACATCTTCCTCCCTGACAGAGACAGAGTGCATATAATGAATGCCTCCAGGTCATCATATTCACATTAACCACTAATAGTTTAGATGCAAAGTATAAAGTAAAACAAAGTAAACCGATTTTTTACTGGGCTACAATTTGAGCGCCAATTTGTTTATATAGGCTATATTTGTTTACAGTTTGATAAATTAGCACCATTAAAAACATGCTGAATTAGCTATCCGCATCATGTACGCATGGA